TTTTGATTTGGTTGTGGTTTCCAGCTGTATGTTTTCCTGTGGCAAACCTAGAATTTTGGTGATAGTAATGAGTGTGAGTTTAGTGTAACCAGAAGATTTTTTTTTTTAATTTAATTTTGAAATACTGTGTTTGTTTCTAAAAGTTTTACTGTTTAATATTTATAGGAGGTTAAGCTGTTGTTGGTGGGAGAATGTGGGATTTCAGATGAGGTGAAATTTATTATTTATGCATATTTTCATTTAATTTTATTTAGTTAATGTTTCTTGGGTCAGTTAATTTTTATTTATTTATTTTTTTTTTAATTTTGTTTTTTGCATGGGGCAAGCTATTGCTTAAAAGTACTTTTGATACTGTAGTTCCTGAGTAAAATAGTTACACCACGTAAAAACAACAAACAATACTAAAGAAGTCATAGTTATCGTGTAAAAACTTAATGTAAAAAGAATGATTAAGAGACTACAGTATTATCATGTCCCCCCCCCCCCGAGTGTTAAGTTCTGAGAATAAAAAAAAAATTTGGCTCTACTCTTATATGCAACCTAAGATCACCAAATGTGGAGATATGTGTTCTGCGCTGGTTTTTGGCGCGATTCTGTGCTGTGGGATGGTTTGGTGGACAATGCTGTTTGTATGGCAACCCTTTTGAAGTTAAAACTTAGAGACCTGGTGGCAAGATTTCAGTCGCGTATTTTAGATTGTGTGGGAAGTAAATTTAGTATTAAAAGGTACGATGTTGGAGTTGTTAACGAGTCTTTTGTTCACGGGTGTGTTTATGCGGATAGAAGTGCATTTTTGGAATGGAATTTTGTGGGAGGTTGGACTTTTAAAACGGAGTTTGGTGTGTCCGAAATGCGGAGATGATATGAGAAGTCAGACGAAGAATGGTGTTTCTGATAGACTTGTGTGGGTTTGCAGTCAAATGGTTGCTGCTCAAGTATGTGGCTGTCAGCGGAGTTTCAGATTTGAATTGTGGATTTCGTGTAGTAAGTTAATGTTGGAGGAAGTTTTTTATCGCTTTCGAAATTTTGAATCCCAGAAAGACATGTGATATAGCAAAATCTTTTGCTTAGAGATTTCTGTTGTTATTTGAATTGTTTGTAATTTATTTTAGTTTATTTTATTGACTTGTGCGCAATGCCTAGATTGTGCAATTCGTAGATGTTTTTTAAAGTTTAAAAAGAATGCTGTGTACATGATATTCTTTGAAATTTATTCTTGTTAATTTATTAAAGTGAGGTATGCGTAGTTCGTATATTCTTTCACTGCCTAGATTGTGCAATTTGTAGATTTTTTTGAAGTTAACTCTTTCGCATCGAGAGACGACCAAATCTGTTTTCAACAAACATCGAAAACGCCCGTGTTTACGAATTTGTCTTGGAGTAGTTTTCCTTTCCCTCTGCGGTTTCATCCATTGTGTGCAGTTTCATCTTAGGGCCAGATTGCACCTGCAAACGTCAATAGCTTTCCGTATTTCTCCTTTATTTGCTTCAAAAGAATGATTGACATGTCTTCTAACAACTCGTGAAACCAATGAGCCATACACTAACGTGGAGGGGAAAGAACTAGGTAGAAAATAAAAAGAGGCGTTGAGGCGGTTTGCCGTTGCCTGAATGAACGGGCGCTACGGGCGACTTCGATGCGAAAGAGTTAAAACATATTGCTGTGTACATGGATTTTTGTCAAATATTTTTTGTTAGAAACTTTACTTTTTTGCTATCTAAATTTTTTGTTTTTGTTTTGGATTTTTAGCTTAAATTGTGTGTTCAAAACATGGTTTTTGCATGTGTGAAAACCGCGTTTTTGGAGACATTTTAGGCTTAAAGTTCAAAATGAAGACAAAAAATTTAGATAGTAATATGGCACCATGGAGTTTCTTGCCAAAAATATTTGCCGAGAACACCACAGTGTAAATTAAATTAAATTTGGCGACCTGAGGGCGCATATAAGATCAATTCCAAAATTTTTTGCATATTTTTCCTTTTTCTCAATGCATTCAGAGTTCCCATAAATTTTTAAATGAATTAAAATTTTAAATCCACATTGTGATTGTTTTCATCTTACTAACAAAAACTGAGCCTTGCAAACTGACAGTTGAGTTCACGTTCTCCTTTTAACTATTGAACTTTAGGACAGCCCAATACAATAATCTATCAATCATAGTGAAACAAACTGTCATTCAGTCTATGATTTCACTGAATTGTCTGCAGCTGAGACAACAATCAAAACAGGCAAGTTTCAGGTTACGAGAAGGTAGAAATGAAGATATCTTATTAGATATAGTAATGTTGACTAATCTTTGGAATATGGTAACAGGTAGTTTGGCGACATTTTGGTAAGGCAATAAAGGCTACTAGCTAGGACTTTAGCAGCGTACATGGATAAAGTCAAGAATGTGCGCAATGCCATTTTTGTGCAATTCTGGGATGTTTTTTAAAGTGGAAATAGGTCGACGTGTACATGTATACTGTGTATGTGCAATTCTTAAAAACGCGGCAAGCAGTGGGTGATTCTGCACTTTGTCCCAATTTCGCACCTAATATTCATCATGATTAAGCACTTTTATTCCATAAAATTTCTAGCATAAGCGTAATTCGGCTAGCAGATTGTTGAAAAAAAAAAAAAAAAAAAAAAGCCTTTTCTTCGTGAAAACAAAATGGCGTCCAAACAAAAACTAGCAGGTTGCTGTAGCAGGGTTGGTTGCCAAATTTTCACCAAGTTACCATAATCCAAAGATTAACTGTAATGTTAATATGGTAAAAGTTTACAATTGGGCACCCCTTGTTTTTTGGTGATTCTTTTTTGACGGCAAGATCGGTGCCAGGAAGGCACAATTTCAAGATGGCCGCTACACGAAACCAAAATAATAAATCAAAGAATTGCACAAACTCTGTATGCATGTACACATCAATCTGTTTTCACTTAAAAAAAACATCCCAGAATAGCACAAACTAGGCATTGTGCCCTGGCTTAAATTTTTCCATGTGCACATCAATCTATTTTCATTTTAAAAAAATCAGAAAGCTAAAACAAAGTTAAAACTATCATGGTAACCAGAAATGAGGTTTCATCACCAAAATTTAAAAAAAAAAAAAAATTGTCACTAATTGAAGGGGCACCCAATTCTACACTAAAGCCGTTAAAATATTATTTATTCTTATTGGAAAGCAGGTTAGGTTTCTTTTAAAGAATAATATTGTGATAGCTACTTGCAGTTTAACCATGACTAATTTTCATTTGTTATGTTCTTACTGTAACTGCATCCTTTGAAAATTAAATTACAGTCAAAAGTCGTTAATTCGGACACCCATAATTCGGAATGATCTATAATCCGGACCTCCGGAAGAATAATCCGGAAGTTAAAAACTTTCTGCGCATGCGCCGCGTTGACACATGCACTTAGGCGTTTACACATGCGGCATAAGACCTCTTACGACTGCGCATTTGCGTGTGCGCAAGCACAGAATACGTTTTCGCGTGCGCGTTTATGTATAACGGACGGGTAAGCTAAAATTATCTAATTATCTATTTCAGTTAATGTTGATGATTGCGTTGTTCCTTAATTTCGAATTGGATCCGGCTTATTATTTTTTGCAGACTGTAAGAGCAATACTATAAAAGTAAACTTGAACTTTCGATTATGTCAATAGAATTTTTGATTCTGGAGCTCCCAAAGGATCGTACAAACGAAAGTATGTTTCGATGTCCATCAAACAAAAGTTGAATTGCTGCAAAAAATGGATAAAGACATGAAGAATGTGACAGAGAGGTTAGTGAAAATGAAAAAATTCGATTGACAAGTTAGTCGGTATTCTCGGCACCGCAATTAACGGGACTTGAACAGCGGAACTTTGTAAGTGAACAAAAAATTATGTCTCTTTATAGAATTAAACGAAAAAAAAAAAAGTATTATCACATAAAACGAAGCAAAAACTTAAACAACTTACATTGAAAGAAATGTTTAATAAAGTAAACAAATAAATATTAAGCTTTTTTTTTGTAAATTTTGATACCCTTTAGATCATAATTGTTCTTTATTTCATAAATTACGGTTTCATATTTTTAATTTTAGAATTTCTGCATGCCATCTTACACGATTTAAACTGATGATCTATAAACCGGAAAAATCGATAATCCGGAATCGCCGAAGTCCCGACGAGTTCGGATTAACGACTTTTGACTGTATTAACATAATTGTTCTTTCTCAATTTCTGGGCAGTAAAATTAGTAAAAGAAAGGGGCAAAATATGCAAGGAAAATGGTAATCATTAATAATGGCCAGAAAATAGCACTGACCGAAATCATATTGAAAACTTGTAAATCAGGTTGAAAATATTTGTTTCATGCTGAAATTATAGCTATAAAAGAAGATTATTTGTAAAAAATAATACTTGTAGAAGCTATTAACTCACTCTTAGTTAAAAATGATAACTGCAAAAAAATTCAACACACTTAATTGATTATATCATGTCAAATGAATACAGTTATAGAAACCAATGAATTTCTTACTAAAATTTTGTATTGTAAATAGCACATTATTTCATTACTGCGTTTCTGTTAAATACCTGTTATTGTACACTTACGATGATAAAAACATGAGTGTTTCATTTAAAGTAGCACCAAAAACCTTGTTGACTAAATAGAATGATTATTTATCAACTGCAAATTCTTACAGCTACGGTGCTCAACAGTATAAATCAAGCAGATATAGATATATTCAATAGCTTCACATAATTAAAAGTGTCAGAAACTAAGTCCACAAGAGTAATAATAGTACTCTTTTCACTGATGTAAATATACTTCAATCGAAGAACAAAGAAAGGTTTTTAAGGAAATACTTTTAATCATAAAATATTGCTATTTTATATACATATATGACCCGCTTAGGTATGATCTATAACACATTTTCAGACCAGTATATATACGATATTCAGGTATCAATACTTATAAAATATAATATTTATTGTCAGCAAGCATACTAAAGTTAAAACTTTATACTTACAGCTTCGATCATGATTGGGTTTTTACTGGAATCATACATGCCTTTAAAAATAATAATATACAGTTTAATACCAACATCATAAACACATAACTTTCTTGTTTTGCATATTTTTAAGTCTTAGAGCTTGTTGAGGAAAAACTAACTTTCTCTCATTCCGAGTATGGTTTTTGAAGGGGGGAACTAATAAATCACATTCAAATCAACTTAATAAAAACAAAACCATATTTTTAATAATTTATAACAAGCTGTTAAAAAAAAGACTGTTTTAATTAAATCAGAAAGTTGAATAATCTTAAGTTATTAGGAATTGAGTTTTCGTATCTGGCAATATTTTATGGATGGTTAGATTAAAGATCAGTCTTGTGCAACGTAAACAAGGAAGTGTTTACATTACATGTTGGCTGTGATCTGATGCATTTTTATGGGCAAGAATGTTTCTGATTCGTTCATTTCGTAGTGTTCATGCAAAAATTGTTAAACCTGCCCTTCAATTAGGATCTGTAAGTAGATTTAAGAACATACGCGACATGTCCAGTATATCTAGTTATCAATATGAAACTTTGTCTGTGACTTCTGATCAACCACATGTACTTCACATACAGTTGAATCGTCCGGAATGTTTAAATGCAATGAATAAAATTTTTTGGCATGAAATTTTAGACTGTTTTCGAAAAATAAAAGATGATAAAGAATGCCGTGTAGCTATAATTTCTGGTGCTGGCAAAATATTTTCATCCGGTATAGATTTTAATGATATGCTTGACCTCACATCAAAAATAACAAGCAAGGAAGATATTGCGCGCAAAGCTAAGTATTTACAGTCCATCATTGCACAATATCAACAGTCATTTACGTCAATAGAAGAATGTCAGAAACCTGTGATTGCCGCTATTCACGGAGGTTGTATTGGAGGAGGTGCTAATCTAGTGTGTGCCTGCGATATTCGTTATTGCACCGAAGATGCTTATTTTGCTATTAAAGAAATAGATATCGGCTTAGCCGCGGATGTTGGTATTCTGCAAAGATTACCAAAAGCTATTGGAAATGATAGCCTTCTTCGAGAATATATATATAGTTGTGAAAAAATTGATTCAGCTAATGCCAAGGATATAGGTATTGTAAGTAAAGTGTTTCCTTCGAGAGAGCTTATGCTGAAGGCTGCAAATCGTCTTGCAGGTTTAATTGCATCTAAAAGCCCAGTGGCGGTACAAGGCACTAAGGTTGCTCTTAATTACTCTCGAGATCATTCAGTGAAGGAAGGACTAGAATTTATGACATATTGGAATATGACAATGCTTCAGAGTGAAGATGTCTTAAAAGCAGCTGAAGCAACTATTACAAAATCTGAGCAACGTCCTAAATTTTCAAAGCTGTAACAGTTTCCAAGTAAATGTGAAAAATTTTTTTTATTTTAATTGAAATAATTATCCATTAAATATTGCTATTACTATTGAATTTTGCTGCCTGTAGTTGTAAGTAACAGACATCAAATAATAATTTTCATATTTGAGAGAATGACTTTTTATTACAAGCCTTTTTTTTTAAAGAACTGTATGACTATGATTACTATATTTTGAAAAGTTATATATTTTTTCTTTATATGAAAATTTATGGATTTTGTCTAACTGCTGTATGAAAAAATATTAAAATAGATGTGATATCTATGAAAGGAAATTATATTTTGTTAATTGAATAAAAATATATTTTGCAACTGTGATTTCTTTAGACATATTTGCACATATAAAATTTTACTTTTTTCATTGCCTACTTAATTTCCTTATTGGAAGTTAAATGAAGAGATGTGCACATATAAATAATTTCATTGGCTTTACAATTAAACTCACTATATGCCAATGTTCCTTGGAAACCTGAATACGTAATTCTGCTTCTAAACTACTGTGAAGATCATAGTATTACTACAATATTGAATTTTGGGTCATTTAGCTAAAATATAGTATCACTGAATGTGCTTTCCTCCTAAACATCTCTTTTTCTCAACCTTTGAGGAAAACTAGATGATAAGTCATGACTTAAAGCCTGAATACTCATGCAAAAATCTAGATGTAAAATTCTGAGATGCTGGCTTACGTAGCTACCTTAAATCATGCTTACTGAGATCACTCAACACCATTGGCAATTTTTAGGCATTTCTTTACAGATATCCAACAGCTTTGTCTTAGTTTTTCCGTATATAAAGATGGCTGTCATTTTATGCATATATTTTGATGCACATTATGTTCTTTGTAGATTAAACACTATCTGATGTATTTCAAGTCATACTTTTTTTAAATTAAATAAATAGTTTTATATCTAAATTTTGAGATCACCACTAAATTTTAAAACAAAGCCTCAATCAGACAATGAGAATTCATTTAATTATTTGCTATTACAAGACCATTTTTCAGTAGATTTAAACATACAGAAGAATGCATAATCTTACTTGACAGTACTTTGAACTGTCTTTAAACTTTATTTTGATAGTATTTATAACTGATTAGAGTAGATTTATGACCTTGTATTATGGCGAAGTTGTTGTTTCATTTATCACCAAGTTGTTGTTTCATTTATGGTAGTCTGAGTAGTTGATGTTATGGGAACCCTCTTGCGGCATAATCGGGTGCATGATTCCGGGAAATTTTGAATCATGGGATGTTTTGTAAGTGCTTTTATGATGTGTGTTGGTTTAACTGTTTAGACGGTAGAATGCCTGAATGTACTAAGATTAATTTGAAGTTTCTGTATAATTTAGAACAAAAGACAAAAAGAGCATTAATTGGCTGGTGTGTAAATGAAGGTTTACTTAGTAGCCATTATAAGTGTCCTATATGTGGGAAGGATATGCATCTAGTTGAACTTAAAAAACGTTTAGATGGATTTTGAATGGGTTTGTAGGAAGAAAGGTTCAGATGTAGCTATGTCAATATAAGGATTCGAGTTAAGATAATTTTAGGAAGTTTTTGGGTGCTGTTAAGGAATTTTGTGTGCCACAGCCTAAAGACGAAGGAACTTCTAAATAGAGTAAGTGGATATTTGCTTTTTCTAGTTCTTAAATGTATAACATGTTTTTCCTTTTTTATGTTATTTTATTGTTTGGTTTAAAATGTAGTTTATTTAGATTATGTATTTTTTGTTTTCCTATATTGTAGAATTGGGTGCTCCTTTGACTTTTTAAGTGAAAATATATTGATATGTACATGAACAAAGGGAAGGGAGTGCAGAATGCAAGTTTGTGCAATTCGTGGATTTTTTTTAAGTGAAAATAGATCAATGTGTACATGGATAAAGTCAAGGGAGTGCACACTTCCATTTTTGTGCAATTCAGGGATTTTTTTACGTGAAAATAAGTCGATGTGTACATGGATACCAAGTTTGTGCAATTCTTTGTCTTGTTATTTTGCCAAAAATTGCCGTTATGCAAGCCAAAATAATAAGTCAAAGAATTGCCCAAACTTGGTATCCAAGTTTCGCGAAGGGGTACCCTAGAATATACTTTTACCGTATAACTTGCTAATTTTTTGCCTTTGATTTGTAAAAAAATTGCTCAGTTTGGACTCTTGATGCTGCTGCAAATTATGATATCATGTATGATCCATGATGATTACAACCTTTAGAAGTCCTAAGCACTTAAAATATTTTGGAGCCCTCACATGTATTTACAGCGTTTTTTTCCCCCCATTCCTTCTCCCTTTCAGGTTTAGCTGCACCATGCATCCCATGATAAAAACCAGTAATGGGAGTTTTTTTTTGGGGGGGGGCTCCTTTTCCTTAATATATAAGAAGAATTTTGTGGTGTCCCAAGCATGTGCGTATATTACCAAATGGTTAATCCAGTCCTAGTGTGACTGATAGCTGCAACTTCTGCAGCAAGTATTCTCATAATTATAAGGAGAGAATGCTTGGTTACAATGGATCTTATGGCAATTCATGGAACTAAATTTCCTAAGAAGATAATGTAGGAATACAAAGAAGATAGATAACACTTTAGAAGAAGAAAAATTAATTAAAAGAAGAAAAATTAATTTAGAAGAAGAAAAATCTGCTTTAAGAATACAAAGCAGATAGATAACACTTTAGAAGAAAATTTAAGTCTGCTTAATGATAAAATTACATCATTAGAATTAAATGATACAGAACTGGAACATGCATTGAAGTTAAAGAGCTCCAAAATTTGCAGAGAGTGAAATAAAATGCATAACGCTACTGAAACTTTTGATTTCAAAATATTTCAACAGTGCTAGTGAGTGATTAGCATTTTAGAATTTCAAAAAGTTAAAAGTCATGGAGATGAATTTTCAGACTATTCAAAAAAATTTAACCATCTAAAAGCACGTGGAACTACATCTTTGAATACCATTGATTAATTTTGAATTTCAATCATAAATTATGCAAAAGCAAATGAACTGTCAGAAATTTAGTTTAGGTGAAAAATATTTCATATAAATGCCCATGCGAACAATTTAATACAGACAGCCACTTTTAAAAAGACTGTAGTCATAAGTGGTTTTAAAAAACTACTATTTGATTACCATTAAATGTTCAACATTTGTCTTATTATTATATCTGATGATTTTGAATTTTTTTAAAACAATTATACAGCTTCTTTAAGTAGAATTTTATCCTTTCACTTTTGTCATGATTTAAGATTCATTACTGCTCAAGAAACGTTTTCCTCGTCTGGGACAAATTGTTCACTAAAGAAGAAGAAAGTTAAAAACCTAAACTCGAGAGTCTGTAATGTGATAATTCGAAACATACTTTGAGGAAAGTAGTAGGAACATACTTCTAGAATAGTATAGGATAAATGAAGGGATAGTGGTTTACTGAAGTATATGATCGTACCAGAAGCGTAGCGAGGGGTTTCAGCGCTCGGGGGCAACTGAAGATTTTGCGCCTCTTTCTCTGTGCAAAGAACGGAAAACATTTCATTCTAAAATTTCGTAACATCAGTTTGGCGCCCCCTGAATGCTGTGCCCGGAGACAGATGCCCCACCCTAGCTACGCCACTGGATCGTACATCAAAACGTTTAAAATGCCTCATGGTCGTTAAGTTCTTAGCGATGATAATTTTGAAATATTTTTTAGAAGTACTTGATTAGATGTAGCAAAAGAGCTTGAAGTTTGCACACAGTTGCATAAAATCATCTTCGTGAGAAGGGGAAAGTAAAAAGTTGAAAAGTAAGTATCAATCTATATTAACACAGCAACAAATGAAATGTTAGAAAACGTAAACTTTGTACAAAAAAAAGGGGGGACAGTTCTAAACCTCCCGTTCTACTGATCCGATTGCCGAAATTTAACTCGCGTTTTTCATATCTCGGAAGCCCGACTTAGAATATATATTAGATTTATGTGTAGTATTGTTCTAATCAGTGGCGTAGCTAGGGTGGGGCAAGGGGGGACATCTGTCCTCGGGCGCAGCATCCAAGGGGGCGCCAAATTGATGCTACAAATTTTTAGAATGAAATGTTTTCCATTCTTGGAACACAGAAAGGGGCGCCAAATCTTTAGTTGTTCCCGGGCACTGAAAACTTTAACTACGCCTCTGGTTCTAATGTATGTATTTTGATACAAAATCAGACCTTTTTCTGAAATGACATACTGATTTTTTTCATATTTCGATTCTAAGACTCAAATTATACTAAGTGTCAAGTTTTGTAAAGATCGCACTAGTAGTTTTTAAAACTCTCAAAATTTAGCTCTTCGATGTTAGATTCCTTCTTTGACAGTTCGAAATTTAGGTTCAATTCAAATGTTCGCAAATATTTTCTCATTTGTTTTTAAAATTTGTATTTTTTAGTAATTTTTATAAATTTTTTGAAAAAATATTTTTTTTGAATTATAACCTGTAAAAATTAAATTTAACTATCATCTTGAAGAAGATGTATTTCTATGCACACCTTCAAAACTTTACAGTTTTTTAATTCACAATTTCCCAAGATATACGTGAATTTATATACTGGCACGTTTGGAAATTGGGCATTTTTATTTAAGAGATAATAATGTCAAATGTAGTTTAACGCACTTAAACTACATTTGCAAAATAATTTTAGAAGTTAAATTTTTCTGAAAGAAAGAACGATGAACCTTTTTGTCCGCTCATCCACAATGAAAAAAGGGAGAAAGAAATAGAAGCCATAAAATTAAGAAATTTGCCAGGTGAATTAATTATTCCTGACAAAAATTGGAAAACGTGCACCAAGTGTTTTAAATTTCTGTAAGTTTCTCACCAAATTTTACAAAATTTAATATTTGGACATATTTTGAGCGGTAAAAATATGGGGGGGGGAAAGGGATGCCATTTCAGAAAACGTCTGCCAAAATATCTATGTTAGACCAGTACTACATATAAATGTAGTATTTTAAGTCCAGTTTTTGAGACATGAAAAACGCAACTTAAATTTCGGCAATAGGACGGCAGATAGAGAATTGTCACCCTTTTTTTTTCTGGGCCGATGCTATTCGCACCAGTGGTGCGATTAGTCCCTTGAACTATTCGCACCAACATTAACCACGCATGCGCATTGAGTTGTCTTATCCATCATTTGAACCCAATCGGAAAGAACGGCCTAAGTGTTATAGTGAATCTTTTTTTAAAGGCGGGTTACTACCT